GCCGCCGCCACTACCGCTCCGCAGACACACAGCCAAGATCCCTGACTCTTAACACCAACTCTCTTCTCCGGGGAGGGGAGGGGACGAGCGAGGGGGAGGGGGAGACACGCCGAGGCGCACGGAATTGCAAGTTCAGCAAAGAAATGGGTGGGGGGGCTCCGGCGGGGAGACGGCGCGCTCCGGGTCGAGCTGGCTTATATTCTTCTCCTCCCCCCCCAAAAAAAAATCTTCCATAACTCCCCCCACCCCAGCGAGAAAGCAGAAACGAAAATGCAGCGAGCACCTCATTCTCCCTCAGATCGTCTGCTACAATCTGAAGCCTCAACAGTTCAGTTTTGCCCGGATCATCCATCGGAGGCACTTTGAAATTTATTCGAGTTTACATCCCCTCACTTCTTTCTTTCTCTGACTCGTTCCTTCTCGCTCACACATCATCCACACACGGCAAAGCTAGTTTATACGAGGCTGCAAATACACGTGATGCAAAAAGACTTTGCCAAGAGGAACAATATTTTTCTTTTCCATATAGAAACCTCACCACAATGTGCTGGGGAGGTTTGCGTTTCGCTAGTTTTGCGTTGGGGGAGGCGAAATCTGAAATGCATACTTTCTCCCCCCTCCCTTTGAAGCCACAGATAGTATAGCTGCAAACTTAGCACACACACACACACACACATACAAAAAAAAGCAATTTGGGGGGTGGATGTTGTTTTGTTTTTACACATGAGTTCTTAGGCACGCTCTCTGTTAGCCAGCACTGTAAGTTTTTAACTCAATGTTTACTATTATAGGCCCTATATGCTCTTAAAACATAGTTTTTCACATCGCTTTTTAAGATACAAATTCAGCTTTATAATTCTATCGTTTCGTAATAACACGCGTGCTTTATCCAGTAGATGCAACATACGTTATTTTAATGTGTGTTAAAATACACATGCTACTACACACTGTTACTGCTAAATGTGCGAGTATATACGTAAAATGCATGCACATACTTCTTCCCATTGGCAATTATTTAATAGGTTGTTCCTTTTGTTTTAATAAAACACAGGGATCGACATTTAAAATTAAATTCAATTACAAACAGTTTACTCTGACAGCAAATTGTAACGTTACCTTAAATGGCCACAAATATGCTCACAATATTCCAAGGAAAGAGACTTTAAAAAGAAACAAAAATCTTCTGCAAGTACTTAGTATCTCACATATGTATTTCCCCAAAAAAGTATTTTAACTGGCACTCAGTCCTGCTCCAGGGGTATTCCACAGATTACAAGATTATGCACCTGGCTCTGGTTTTTGCATTTTCCACCATAAAACTGCAACAAAATTCCCTCCCCCAAAAAGAAATCATTTAAAAAATTTTTTTTCAACAACTTTTTCTTATTGTTTATAAAAAAAAAAAAACAGGTTATAATTTTTCCTGAAACAAATCTTGTTTTTTTTCCTTCTCCCCTTATAAAGTCTTAAACTTGTTCCAAGTTTAGAGGTGTCTCCTCATCATCATCCTCCTCATCATCATCACCATTGACTCCCCCGTGGAGTCACATTGATAATAATAGGTTTCCCTGAAAGATACATTGTAATCCATTCACATCCGGGCACTGCGGGCTTATAAAGAGAAGGCGCTGCGGCCGCGGCTGTTCCTCCAGACAATGACTGGGGAGGGGCGGGGCGGGAGCGAGCAACCATAGAGTGGTAAACAGAGTGCCTAGAGAGGCGCCCAAGATGGCGGCGCGCGCTGGCCACGCCTCCTCCGGGACTGGAGGCGGGTGGCGGGATTCGTGCGGGCGTCGCGCGTGGGGCCGAGCCGCGAGGACTCCGGAGGCTTGGGCCGTTTGCAGGCCACGTGCCCCTGCGTGCTTCCTGTTGTTACCATTCCCCCGCCTTTCTTGCTCGTTGAGTCAGAAGTGTAGGCTCCTGAGTAAATTAACAGATTAAACTCCACAGACTTCCGTAGGAGAAGGCGGCTTGGAAGAGGCCGCGCTGGCCTCGCGAACGAAAAGCCCGAGCCCGGGTTTTCCCCGCAGTATGGAACCGGGTCGTTCAGCGAGACTGGGCGGCGCGGAGAAAGGCCGGGAAACCGAGTTTTTGCTCCTGGGTTTGAAGACGGGGTGGGCCTTCCCCTCCCCCGTCCTCACCTCCAGGCCCCAGAAAGTGTGAGAACTTTCCAAGTCCAGTTAAGAGTTTCAGGGCAGTCTTGGTTTAAGGAGACCTTCGTGAACCGCTTTAATGTACATCGCGTTTCCGCCATGAGCTACTACTGCCTCAATATCCAGTGCTGGCCCAGCAATTACCTTCTTTAATCTGTTTTGTGGACCAAAAAGCAACTAAATCATGACCACTTCACAAATTGTGTAAGGGTTAAATGGATAGAAGATAGCAATCGCTGAAGAAATACTCTTTTCCATGGCTAATTCCTCCCTAAACCAATTGATAACTCTAAGCCGATGGAAGCTTTAAAATGAGGTTTTCTCTATTCCAAATGAGTAGCTTCCAGTCCTTCGGACAGAGAGAGACAGAGAAATGCAAATTCAATGATAGGTAACACAGGTTTGCTGTGTGCCAAGCACAGTACTCAAACATATTGGCTCATTTAGTCCTGAAATTGATTCTGTGCAGTAGGTATTTTTGCCCCCATCTTACAGATAGGAAACGAGAAGCAACTGAAGTTGAGTAGCTTGATGCAGGGCAGAAATTTAGTAAATGGGACTAACTTGCAAAGTTGCACAACTTTATGAAGTGTAGAGGCCAGCTTTGAAAGTAGGCTGGGTGGGACCAGAGTGCACATGCAGCCATTTTTGGTGCCATCTCACAGTGGGACGGTCCTAGCGTCCATTTTAACAGTCCATTCTCTGGCACAATTTTATAGCAAGAACATTTCAGATGGATTGTAAGACTTGTTTGTATGTAATTTTTAGAGAACAAGAATTAGAGCATGTATAGGTTGTTTCCTGTCCATTCACACATTGTGAAACTTCCTGCCTTCAACCCCATCTCTTGCCCCCATCTTAAAATTTCTTACATTCAGACACTACTTGAAGCTGCATTATCTCAGACTCGTAGAGTATAAGACTGTAAGCTCTACAAAGATGATGGAGGAGAAATACTCCACTGGCTCTACCTCTAATCAGCTCTGTGACCTGAAGGGTTAGATCAGATAATCCCATAAAAATCTCTCCCAGCTTTTAGATTTTCATATTCCCTCTTCCCCTGAAGAACAAGGGAAAAAAATGACCTGTCTGGAAATCGGACAAGGTCTGGGCCCTAAATACACTCAATTGTTAGTCTAGTACTTTGTTTCTTTTTTCTCCAAACATACACTTGCAACTACTGCACCTATTTCAAATTAAGAAATAAATGGGGTTTGTGGCTATTGTTGTCTGCTTGTTTATGGGTTTTTTTTTTTTTTTTTTTCCTGAATTGTCAGAAGAATAGGTACTTTGCAGCTATACCTATGAAGCCCAGAGGCACCTTAGAAAGTAAGTGCAGTACAAGTTTTGGGGTTCCGGTTCCCTTCCCCAGGAGAGTGTCCAAAAATCCTGATACAGAGGTAGAACTTGAGGTGGAATTGATGTCGGTGTCACAGATTTCTTCCTGCCTCAGTCCCAGCAGCCCCAGCTGATAGGATCTCAGGAATTAAAAGAGGAAGACATTGTGGTAACATCTAGTGAGTGGTGGATCTGTCATGTCCTGGAGTCAGCTGGCCAGGCTGGTGCCAGGAAGCCAAGGCATGTGAGAGCGGTGGTTATGGGGAAACAAGAACCATGAGCAAGCAGAGGAAACATTCTCCAGATAAAAGAGAGATCTTGGAAGTTCTGAGAAAAGCAGGCAATGTACTCTTAAAAATGCCGAAAGACACCTTCCAAATTCCTATAAGGACTACATTGCCTTCTTGCCAGGGGTTAGCTGATCTGTGCCAAGCCTTCCCTCCCCCAGCTTAGTTTGTCTGAGTACTTTTCTAATCCTTACAACTAGAGAGTTTAACTAGGAAAGAAAAAGAAATTCTTTGAATTGGAGCAATGTCCAAGTAGTCCTTAATATGATTAAAAAAAAAAAAAAAAATCGGTAATCGTTAATGTTGTTATGTGCCATCCAGTTGGTTCTGACTCATAGTGACCCCTCCTTGGGTTTCCGAGGCAGTATCACTACGGAAGTAGATTGCCCCATCTTCCTTCCGAGGAGAGGCTGGTGGGTTTGAACCGCCAGCCTTCTGGTTAGCAGTCAAATGCCTTAGGCACTAAGCTACCAGAGCTCCCTATTAATTGTTATTACAGGGGGTAAGCAACTTGCTGCACTCCCCCATGGTAACGATCCATTAATTATGCCACAGATAGTAAGGATGGTACATTTGAGTGCCATTCCCCTTATGGATGTCATTCCTTTTGTGACCTTAGGCAACTTTCACATCTTGTCAGATGTTAAAACATGTAACTATCTTAAATACCTTACATGACTGGTTAAAATCAAGTGAGATCATGCAGATGAAAGTGCTCTGAATGTAACAAATTTCTATCAAATGTAAGCCAACATTATTGCAGGACCTGAGCTGAAGTCTAAAGATGATTTTATTCATGGGAGTGAAAAAGAGCCACATAGTAATACCCCATGGATTCATATAAAATTACAGTGAAGGGTGCTTGAACCAAACCTTCCACTTGTTAATGAGGATGTCCAGGCTTAAGTGGAAGGATTGCCCAAGGTCACATTGCTCATGAGTAGCACAGCCAGTAGTAGCCCCACAGTAACTGAGTCCCAGTCCAGAATGCAGTCCTGTTCTCCTTCAAATCCCACCCCAGTTCTGCCCATGTCAAAAGAAACAAGCAAACAAAACCACAAACAGAAAAGCAGCTGTCTGGGGCTCTAACGAAATTCATCCAACACATCCACAAACACTTTTTGAGTATCTACTTTGCATTAGCAGCTATTCTTTCAGGACCAGAGGCAAAATGCCGGCCAAGAAATCAGAACAATGTAAGTCAAGGGCAGTCCCGATGGAATCACGAAATCACCCTGAACCTGGGCAAGAGATGTGGAAAAGTGAAGGCTGTCCCAGAACATTTTTCAGCTGCTACATCCCATGGGCAGAAGCTTGTGGGACCCCAGGCTGGAGCACACGCAGACTGAAAGGCTGAGTTAGGAAGGCAGCTGGCATAATACATAACGGAAGGGAAGGTTCTGGCAAGTTTATGTCAATGAGGGGCAAACCTTCCTGGTAAACAGTCCCACACACCCCAAGGCCTTTGTGTCCTCTGGTCCGTGATTCTCTGTCCCCTGGCTATTCATATGGCTAGCTCATTATCATCCTTCTCCTCTCAGCTTAAACATGCCACCTAAACAGTCTGTCTGGAGTAAGCACCCTGTCTTATTTTTTCTCAGCCACCCTATCAACTTTATATCCTTAATGGGACATTTCCCAACTGGGACCCTCATTAGATTGTAGACACCGTGATTCAGGAACTGTGATGAATCTTGTTCCCACACCTACCACAGTGCCTGGCACATATTATACTCAATAACTATTTGTTAAGTGAATAAAGAAGCTATCTTTATCCTCAGATTCACAATATAAACTGAAGAGTCCGGCAATTACGCCTTCCAACTCAGTTTTTTCAAAGGTTTTGTTCTAGCTTGATTTCACTGCCTGTACAAGTGTTTGATGAATATTCACTTTGATTTTCAACAGGCCACTAGCTCCCTGTCTCCTGAATCCTAGGCCCATAAGACAGAACCAGGATAATGGCCTTACTTTACCAAACCATTGAGATGGCTCTTCATGCTAATGAAGACGTTAAAAGATGCTGCCATTGTTTTGCTTCACAAAAATAACATTTTAACATGTTATGTACCTTGGTCCAACAAGGAAGGTTTAACTTTCTAAATATCAGTGTGCTACTATACAACTTTATGTCTGAAATCCCTTTATTTTCTGAGTCATTCTTGGAGGAAGAATTCAGCTCAGTCCCACCAACAATCATGTATGTTGATTTATGAGCACTGATGACCACACAGTGAGCTAGGTCCTTACGGTACTATGATCTGATCCTCACCATTGAAAGAGGATGCATACAAAAACCAGACAGCATAGTAAGTAAACCAGTAATTGCTCAACATGAGATCCATGCAGAAATAGTTGTGCAATGTAGTGAAAAGACAAGGGGCTGAATCATAATCATGGGAGAGCAGAACTTTGATTTTACTTATTTTTGGATGTTTGGGGGGGTTGGAAGGAGCCCTGTTTGCACAGTTGTTAAGTGCTCATCTGCTAACTGAAAAATTGGCAGTTCAAACCCACCAGCCGCTCCATGGGGGAAAGATTGGCAGTCTGCTTCCGTAAAGATTGGAAACCCTGTGGGGCAGTTCTCTTCTGTCCTACACAGTTGCTGTGAATCAGAACAGACTTGAAGGCAGTCAGATTGGGTTTTGGGGTCTGAGGGAGTTGGAGAGGAAAAAGAAAAAAGGACACTTTGAAAATCTTTCATTCTTAGTGTCTAAGATGTTTTAGAAATTTAAAGAAGACACAAAAGACTTAATATATAATACCACCCTTCTAGAAGGTTTTCTTCCAGTCATAAAACTGTTTTTCTTTTGTAGCTTTAGTGTTTTATTTTCTGAGTCTTGTCAT